GCTATACGGCAGTGGTGTTCAAACTGTGTTCCATGGAACCCTGGTGCTCCACAGGGCATACCCAGGGGTTCCACGAGTCACAGTAAAAAATTGAAAGAAGCCCCATATATAAATATGTATGAGAAATTATTATTGTTTGTGCAATTAAACTATCTAAAACTCATCCTATTCATTAAAAATGAATATTTTATTTATATACAATAAACTTTATTTTTCAAGACTTTTTAAGCTTTTGTTATAATATAATAAAATTATATTAATTTTTTTTATCCTTATATGTATGTTTCCTAATAGATTGTGAATATTCTGTTGATTACTATTTTGGGTACCACGAGATAATTTTATATTCGTTATTTAACACAGTGTCTTCGGTAGCTAGTGTTCTAATGGAAAATGCACCATTTTGCAATTGTGGAAAAAACACCTATAATGAAGGAAGAGAAATAACTTATCAACAGATTTAATGTTAAAGTCTAAATTTAAGCAAGAATAGCATCTAAATTTTAGGTTACAAATTCATGCAAAATACTTAATGCTTCTCGCAGAGATATTAACATTTAAATGCCATTCAGAACATTGTGTTTAAATGACATATATTTCTCAACGTGAGTGGCTACAAAAACAAAGTATAAAAACTAATCAAAACGCAGAATAGTAAATGCGACTGCAGATAATTTCAATAGACATAGACTTCGACAATTTATGTGAAAAAAAAATCAAGCACATATTCCAGTTACTAAATAAAATGCACGGGTTAGTGACACTAGAATCACAGATTAATATTATTAATGAGTAAATCACATTAAAAAATAGATTAGAATTTTTTCAATAATAAATGCAATACTTCTTTTAACTGCCGTTACATTAAGTACCTATAACATGTTGATCTGCTTTAAATATTATTTTGAGATATATTCTTCTTGAAGGACCAGTGGTTGAGTGGTAGCGTATCGCGCTTCCTCACCACTGGTCCGGGTTCTATCCAGGGCTGGATAAGGTTGACTCAGCCTTTCATCCCTACAGCAGGGGGTCGATAAATGCGTTTCAAGCTTGCTTGGGGACTTAAGAACTGGGGGCCTCGCTTCAGACTGATCGGGACATCTGCTCATGCACCTCAGCGCGCAATGGTCACGTATACTGGGATGGTAACAGTAGGCCCTGAACTTCATGGGCTGTTGCGCCACTGAGTTTGAGTTTGTATATTCTTCTTATTCTAAGTATATGTGAGGAATGGGACTCCGCAGAAACATTTTCTAGTTCAAGAGGTTCCACGAAATCATCTCCAAGTCCTAGGGGTTCCGTGAGTTGAAAAAGTTTGAAGACCACACTGCTATAAGGCAATAAATTCCATTTGAACTCTAAAAATATCAGCATATATTATACGATTCTTAAAATAGTCTTTAGTATTCCTATTTTTGTTAATTTGTGCATTGAATTGAGAAGTATGAATTTATTTGTCAGTAAAATTTCAAATAGTTGTATCTTTAATTTTATCTTTAATAGTTACCTTCGTAAGGGCGCACCCCTCGGGTGCCCTTCTCCTAGATTATCAGCGTAAGATAGAGGTGTAGGAATAAATGAAGAAGTAGAAGCTGCCATAATCTTAATATTACTTTATTAAGATCTTAACTTAAACCCCATTAACAGATTAGATGATAATATGATATGTGAGAGAATCTACGGTGGCTAAACACACAATATATATTACCGAAATAACGTAACCCAGACCACTATCAATAACTAACTCGCTTAAGCTCAATTTCAATGCGATCACACAGATCCGAATATTTAAACGGTCACTCCTACCTTAATGTCCAACGTGAAATCTCAATCTATCTGATCCTAGCTGAAGTAGCGGTTCACTTGCGTGCAATGGTATGCACATTGACTCAAGGCTCTCTGTCACGGATAACTTCTCTTGACTGTTACTTAACTTCTTGAAACACTTTTCACACTTGCCCCACGAACTAACATAACATTCCCCAAAGGCCACGCAGCTTACTCTAAACTTTTGTTACTTAAAAGCTTCCTAATTTGCATCTTTCCTTCACGTTCTACTTCTCGGGTTGGTTGGAAAAGAATTGCCACACACATTTATTCTGACCCCTAAGAACACAAAAGGATATGTTAATGAAAAAACGCGTGAGCTGTCACACCTTTCAATTGCATAAATCTTTGTACTTGCTTTGTATCTTGTTTCCTCTCTCTTGCGCTTTTAAATTTAACATTCACTAACTTATTTTCTTACCTCAATAGGGCACTCAATTGTTAGCATATGCAAATGATATAGAAATAGCGGGAAGCACAAGAAAAACGATTGTTGAAGCTTTTTGTAAGCTTGAAGTGGCAGCAAAGATGGATTTGATAGTCAATGAAAAAAAATACAAAGTTTATGGTAGTCACAGATTGGAATTTCAGTCCTACCAGAGACTTTTTGAGGAGGTCTGTCAATAGAAATATTTAGGTACAATTGCAAATAACAACAAAGACATAACGCTCGAAATTAGAAATAAATCAACATAGCTAATAAATGTTGCTATGGTGTGAGAAATCAATTTAAATCCAAATATTTATAAGCAAAGAAACAAAAGTACAACTATACAAAACACTTACAAGNCCCATAATTTTATATGGACGTGATGCTAGACAATAAGAAAACTGCATGTGGAAAACTTATTGAGATAGAATAGAATTATAGAATTTTTGTTTACAATTTTGAATTGCGAAGGTTCAAATTTAATTAAAGTAATTAAGGTTTCATAACTAAAATGGCTTGACCACATATTCAGGTATGATAACAGCAACCCAATTAAGCAAATAACGCTTAAGAAACCATAAGACAAGAGAAGAAGAGGCAGAGACCCTGTACAAGATGACTAAACAATACAGAAAAATGCTTGCGAAACATTGGTGTAAATTAATGGAAAATAATAGCAATAAACAGATCAAGATGATTTTAACTAACTGAGACATTCTTAGCAGGAAATCAGCTGTATACTAGAAGAATATACGTAAGTAAATGAACGGTAATGTAAGTCATGATTCAAATCAATAAAATGTCCCTTAAAAATATTTAATAGAATGAAAAAAGGGGACCTAACGGATGAATCATTTATAGTTTAACTTTCAAATTAGATTAACAAGAGGTAAGCGCTTTGCTGCTCTTTTACATCACATCTGATTACAACGTTGAAGCTTGATGGCAGGAAATTATTTGGCTGATAAAGAATTCAGTCCAGCTCCAAGTTTACATTGACAGTCAAACTCTTCTGCTCGTGATGCTCTAGGCGTTGCTATCGAAGGGTTAGATAATGCAATAGATTGGATTAAAATAGCAACTCTACATAAGCGTTAAAAAATTTAAAATATATTATTTCTGAAAAAAATTCCCTGTTTTGGGAACTGTTCATGAAAAAAACTGGAAAAGATCGAGCTTTATTGGTTCAATATTATTTAGTTTCTTTGTAAGGTACCAAAGTTGTTATTCGAAAGATATTAAGATATATAATTCATTTTAATTTACAAATGATTTCATATTTTTCTTGTTTCTTCATTAACTATAAAAAAATTATCAAAGAAAATTTTTTCCTTCACAACGAGAATGTATTCCTTTTCTTAATTAAAAATTTTGTATTAATAAAAATTTTGAATGCAAAAAATTCCGAAGGTATAAATTTGGATATAATGTAGGTGATTAGTTATTCGATTCAGTATCAACAGAGGACATAAAATATGCAAAACTTTAGTCTCTTCATTTGAAACTGGCTTGAGTATCAAATTTCTGTAAACTGTAACTTTTCTTTCAAATTTGCATTGATCTCACGAACGAATTATCTTTTATCTAAACATTGTACTAGCCATCAATATTGCATTACTAATCGAAGAAACACATAAAAATCAATCTTGAATGTTTAAATTTCACTGGTGAGGAAAATTATTCCCGTAGAAAGTTTATTCAAATTTTGGAGTATATTACATATTCCTCTGCTTCCCATTACATAAAGAGATATTAAGTCACATCATTGTTATACACTATTTGATGTAAACCAGATTTAATAACTAGATAGATTGAAATATTTAATACCAAACTATATAGATCCATTGCTTCTCTTGCTTCTTACCTAAGATGTTAATTCGAATAGAAGATGCAATATTAACCAATTCGCAGCCAACTACGATATATCTCGTAGTAAGCGTGTATACTAAAACTGCCGATTACGAAATATCTCATAGTTAGGGCTGATAGTTTTGATTGATCACATATTTCCATTTGAGATAGGAATTATTAAAAAGGACGAATGGTAAATTTACATAGTGAAAAAAAATTAATTATCAATTATTGTTATTAAAATTATAACGTTTTTCTATTTCTAAAGGGCTGCGGATTGGTGTTTTACCTTTGCAGACCAAGTACATTCCCGGAAGCTGGTATCTCTTTTTAGTGCGGCACCCTATAGGCGGATACCAATCGCCGCAGTTAATTTTGACACCCAGTTTCCTTCCTAGAGGGAGGCACCTGAGCTCTGACGATGCGAACCTGTACTAAGATTTAATTTTGCCGAGAGCACCCAAGCCAAACAAATACTCTAGGCATCTTTTACATGCCGTATAATCATATGACATGGCCGCTGTCACTTTGCTGCGTGGCCGAGGTAACCGAGTGGTATAGGTATCGGATCGTGGCTTGCTTTAGGGTAGGGCAGCGATGCACATTAAATCTGTCGAGAGCTGAAACGTCCTCCCGTTGGTGTGGTAGTTAGGAGAGGGAGCTCCAGCTCAGGTGAACTCCACGTCACTTGACCATGGTTCAAAATTACGTGGTCCATCGCCAAAAGCCCTCGTGTAGTTGAACAGTGCGATGTTAATATTCAATCAATCAATCAATCAGTCACTTTTCTGCATCATAAGAAGCCACTGACTTGAGCCGGGGTCGAACCCGCAACCTTAGGTGTAAAAGGCCAGTGACAAAACCAACCTAGCCTCCCAGCCGGCAAAATATGCAAGCGGCACGCAGTGTTCCCAGGTGGTCACTCTCCCAAGTACGGACCACGACCAATGATGCTTAACTTAGGTGATCGGACGAAAATCGGTGTTTTCAGTATGGTATGGACGTTGGAGAGGCCATATAGCGCAGACGATTAGATTATAACATAATATATATATATATATACACACACACATATATATATATGAATGCATTCCAAAAATGAAAATTTTTTTTTACTGCTGTTGTTGTGTAGAATGAGCTTTAAAGCAAGGATCAATGTGAAGTGCTGGGTTATTAGGACACACTAGACAAAAATACCTAGTCTCTTTACTTTTTTTCTTCTTTTTGCTTTGTACGCATTCGATATGACTTTGTAGGCATCCTTTTTTCTTCTGTGAGGTGAGAGGAAGACGTTCTAAGAATTGAAAATCAGTTGTATTTGTATTATAGTTGCCTCTTTTCCTTGCTTTGCTGCTGTCGCCATCAAATAAATACATAATAACTGATTCTCTAAATTGACACATTCTCATCCTTTTATTCCCTCCATTTATTTGGTTACAGAACTTATATGCATTCCGCAGGTAGATTTCGAATAAAACTATTTTCTTGTACCAATAGATTGTTTTCCTATGCTCCTCTAATAGACACTTATTTTTTTATTATTTTACAACTTTACATAACTACCATCACCTTATAGGTTTTCCCCAGCAAGTATCATTACACGTCTGTATGAAAAAAAATCTGACATAACATCCGACTGTCACCAGATGAAATTAGGTCACAAGCTTGAAAAATAAAGCAAAACGGAAAGAAAATTTTTGTATATGAAGATTTTTCTTGAAAAAACCACTGAGAGATAACTCGTAAATAGCACTTAGCATAGGAATCTTAGTCAGTGATACCAGGCTACAATTTATCTTCTAGTGTTATTTTTTTTAACAAAAATTACTGTAAATGCGCTATTACAATATTATATCAATAATTTAATAACACTATATTTTCTGAAATTTTGTGTTTTCTTAAAAATAAAACATTGGTACCCAGGACCAGATGCTCTAAATTTACCCGGCAGTCGATGGGTAAATAGTTTCGAATCATATGAGTCGCATTTCAGTTCTAACTTTTGTCATTTGAAAATCCAATAATTTTTACCACTAATTAGAAAATAAGATTATACGTACTGGGTATTATTCTAAATCTGCAAACAAACGATAAACACATTATGATAGAAATGACTAATTGTATTATAAAATTTGGGATTTCTCACATGGCACTTACAAACGACTGAATTAAATTCTTCTGTATGAAACTTGTTGAAAATATTCGCTTCTAACCCTAGAGAGTTCTGTTTCAGAATCCTGAAAATTCCTCGCCGAAATAACTGAGTGAGTTTAGATGGAAAATTATGCATTTTCAAACAGTTCAAATGTAATTTCAAACTGGTTGGAATTTTCTGGGGGAAATTAGAAAATCACTTGGGAGAATATCTAATTTGTGTCCCATTAAAATGTTAGGAAAGATCACAGAAAATGAAAAATATGTGGACAATTAGAAGGTTTACTCCTTCGAATATAGTAATTTAGCGATTATTAATTGATTCCCGAAAGATACTGTTAGCAGTGGCGTACACAAGGAGGGTGTCCTAGGAGTCCGGACATCCCCCATAGCCCTTGATTTCTTTTTCTATTGGTTATAATCCTACGTATATATTTCGTAAAATTTAATTATGTATTTGTTTTTAATAATTACTTTTATTAATTAATGCTAATTATTTATTCAATAATTAATTTTGTATTGTTTTTGTTCCCGAAAATCGGCAAAATCAAAAAAATATGTTGGGTGGCGTATTGGAGTATGATACCGAAATGGCGAACTTTCGACCTTGTACCCCCCCCTTGAAAATTTTTTGTGTGCGCTACTGACTATTAGTAAATTATAATAGATGTTGAAAGGTATTCAATTCCTACTATTAGTTCACACTCTCCCTATATATACGTATATATGTATATCTTGTTCAAATTTTCAATCGTTAATAAAATACTTTTTATTCATCCACTCAAGTTCAAACGTATTTTTTCAACTTATAATGGATGAAACTTGATATTAATACAGTTTTTTTTTTCAAATATAATTCAATAATTAAATTTAATTAATGAATAGATAGTAAAAATAAGAATAATAGTCGAACACCATTTATAAAAAAAAAGTACCTTGATGTGTCCCCGCGGCGCAATGGATTGCATGTTGGACTTCTGATCCGGAGGTCGTGGGTTCGAATATCACATGGGATGGTATAATATTTGAGAATGTGATTTCTTTTTGCTATAATTTTTTATTGGAATTACTAAATTTTTAATGAATGAATAAATATTAACACAAACAAAAACAATAGTATAATACCATATATAGAAAGGAAAATAGGAAATTACAAGGAAAATCGTTTACTATTTTGCCACTTAATATTGTGATTCTGTCATATGTATGTACATATTTATATTATAGTCATATGTGTGTATGTACATATTTATATTACAGTTCCATGTATGCACATATTTATATTAATTTATTTAATAAGGAGTAATTAAAATAAAACTTTTTTTGTTGATATAAGTAGTAATTGACTTTAAATTTTTTGTTTTTAATATTACCTGTTTTTCTTTTAGGAATATAACATTGAAACAAGTTCATACATGTTTTTCCTTGATCAAATGAAACTAAAATTCATTTTTCACTGCTTATTTTTATTTAGAAATACGATTCATCTCTTTATTATTAAAGTAATATTAGCATACTTATTTACATCATCTTCAATGCGTGATTTTGAAGTCATATGACAAATTCATGTTTAATGCAATTAAATGATTGTTTATTATTGGTGCACTTCAAAAAACACAAGGACTGGATCATTGGAATATCTCGTAAGAAAATGGCAAAGACTATTGTAATTTTGATCCACTGTACAACACTCTCTATTTCACTCACTACTTTTTGAAGTTCCTCACCATGCCAATGTGCGGACTTAGAACATGTAATCGTAAATTAGCCCTTTTATATTGTGAATTTTGAAAGGTACCAGGATAATAGTAATATAATGCTAAATAATTGAAAAATAAGTTACTAACATTACTAAATAATTAATACTTATTAAAAGAAAGTTTGAAAAACCAGAAATAAAACAAAATTTAATCTACATACATACGAACATTCATTCAAATGGTGAAAAAAATAGGATCACCCTTAAATAAAAATTGTTAAAAATACTTTAAAGCATATGTAACACGATTTAATAAACCTTCTGGTAAGTACGGTGTGACGGGCTCACGCGTCTTTTCTTTAACATGTCCTTTGGGTACTTTTGGGGCCAAGATTAATGGCAACTCTTTTCCACCAAAACCCAAGAAGTGAAACGTGAAGATTAAATGCAAATTAGATAGCTTTTAAATAACAGAAGCTTCAGTAAGTGGGATGGCAATTTGGGGAATGTTATGTGAGAGATTGATACAATCGTAAAAGGACGGCCAACAGAGGTTATTCCGAGGATAAAGCCATTAGGTCAAGTGCATACCATTGCACCCGCGTAAAGACGCCACTTCCTAGTATCGGAGCTACAATTGGATTAAAGTAGGATTGACTATTTAATATTAGGACTTGCGTAATTATTGGAATTGAGATTAGGCGGGTTAGACATTGATAGTCGTCCGAGTTACTTCTTTAGGTATTACTTGTATTGTGTGTTTTTTCATCGTGTAGATTCTCACAAATCTAATTATTATCTAATCTGTTAAAGGTTTAAGTTTAAATTCTTAATAAAGACGTTAAGAATATAGACATGTCTGTTCCTTTTGTAAATCCTATACCTCTAGCTCAAGTGGATAATCAAAGAGAAGATAACCCTAGAGGGGCACTTTCACAATGGTTAAAATTTATTAAGAAAGTAACAAATGTAATTTTACATCCTGTATTATATTTACCTAATACCTAATCAGTACACTACCCAGTAAAGACTAGCTCTAAAATCTAACCTAATTGTCCTTTACTTAAACTAATTAAAACCACATATAAGTAAAAATTGTGCACAACATAAAAATTTGAACACCAAGAAATAATTGTGGTATAGTAAAGAAACTTGGCCTGAAGTTATATGCCGGGCAGATATACAAATGATTAGAAATGCAGCAGGCGTTGAATTTCGTTCTTATTGAAATTAAAAACAGGTTGACAGAGCTTGTTTGGATGCACTTAATATTTTTCAAAGGAAATGCGTTACGCCTTCATTGAAGACAATATGAGCAGCTGTCAGAGTTCAAGAGCGGAACAATTATCGGGGTGATGGAAGCTGGGTGGTCAGTTTGGCGAGTAGCTCATCCAGTAGGCCGTTCTTATTTAAATGTTAGGAGGTGTTGGGACCACAGTGGACAGAGGAGACGTCATTTATATGGTGACCAGGCTCAGGACGCCCTTGACAGACCAGTCGTCGAGAAGACTGTCACATCATACGACACCCACGTCTAGAGCCAACTATCTCATCGGCCACTACGGGCCCCCGTGTTTTCCCGAACCATCGCAAGGAGCCTGCCTAAGGGGCATGTGGTATCGCGGTACTGATTAAGTGTGTTGCCAATGACACCTACCCACCGACGTCCCCGTTTAGAGTTGCGTCGCGCACGACGAGATTAGAATGCAACGGAATGAACCAGGTCGTCTTCAGTGACGAATCTGGATTCAATTTAAGCAGTGATGATAATCGTATTCATGTGTGAGGCCACATGGTGAAAGCTTCAACCCACAGCTGGTGTGATGGTATGAAGGGAGGGGGGGGTGTCAACCCTAATATTGATCCATGACACAATGATAGCCCAGTGGTACGTCTATGAATCGTCTTCCTCAGCCACATGTGTTGTCACTCATGCCAGGGCTCCCAGGATCCATTTTTCAACAAGACGATGATAGATTATACACAGCAAGGATACTATAGGACTGCCTCCACCTCATTACCACCCTTCCCTCGCCTGCTTGATTTCTAGATTTGTCACCAATCGGGCATATCTGGAATCATTTGGGATAGCAACCCTACGAGTTTGGTCAAACTAAAAGCGCGTTTACAGCAACTGTGGAATGAGATGTTT